CAGAAAATAGCGGAAATACAGCACCAGCACAGCTACACACACACACACACACACACACACACACACACACACACACACACACACACACACACACACACACACACACACACACACACACACACACAGAGAGAGGGAGGATTATTATTTGGGGGGTTTTAATTTGTTATCAAATGTGTTATTTCACATCATTTTTGATTAATCGTGACTTTTTCTGTTTTAAATTAGTAAATTTTCTTTCTCTACATTTTAAAATCTATTATTAAAGGAAAGGCCAGCTCATTTTATAGCACCTCCAGAGTTAAACATTTGAGTTTTACCATTTTTGAAACCAGTCAGCTGATCTCTGTGTCTGGTGGGAGCACTTTTAGCTTAGCTTAGCATAAGTCATTGAATCGGATTAGACCATTAGCATCTCACATAAGTCCTTTCCTCTGTAATTGCTGAATTTGTGTCATTTATTTATTTCATATATTTTATTTATTTATTTATTTTTTTACAGTTGTATATGCTTTGTTAAGTTACTATCATTGTTATTAGCACTGTCCTTTTCCTGTGTAGGTTCGATTTTGTATGTTTGTTATTAAAGCATAAATAAAATTAAATAAATAAATAAAATAAAATAAAACAAAACAAAAAAATAAATTTAAATAATATAAAATAAATTAAATTAAAACAATTTAAATAGAACTAAAATTAAATTAAATTAAAAGTTCAACAAAATAAATTAAAACAAAATGAAATAAAATTACCATAAAAAATAAATAAAATAATAAAATACAAATAAAATAAAATACTTAATTAAATTACAATAAAATAAAAGAAAACAAAAAAGAAAATAATATGAAATAAAACAATATACAATTAAATTAAATATAAAATATAAAATAGTAAAATAAAAATTCAAAATTCAACAAAATAAAATAAAAGTACAATAAAATAAAAATAAAATGAAACAAAACAAAATTAAATTAAAATAATCCAAAATTAAATAAAATGAAAACAAATTTAAATAAAACAAAAGTAAAATAAATTAAATTAGAAGTATAAAAAATAAAATAAAACAAAATTAAATTAAATTATCAGAAGATAAAATAAAGAAAATAATAAAATACAAATAAAATAAGAATCAAATAAAAAATAAAAAAATGTAATTACAATAAGTTAAAATAAAACAAAAATAAAATATAATACAATAAAATAAGATACAAATAAAATAAAATAAAACGAAAAATTAAAATAAAATAAAATAATATAAAAATAAATTAAATAAAATTAACCTAAAATAACCTAACAAAATAAAAAGTAAAACAAAATAAAAAAATATTAAATAAAAATAAAATAAAACAAAAATTACAACAACAAAAAAACATTATAATACAACATAAAAACAATAAAAAGTAGCACAGTTTGTCCTGTAGGAGTCGCTGTGCTACCAAAATCCCTGATGTGCTTCCCACACAGTGCTAGACGGTCAGGAATATAGACTGTGCTCAGGTTTTTATACTCACACATGTGTTAGTTTTGTCATCTCAGCGTTAATTAATAATCTAGAAGTGTGTTTCTTCACTCACCGCGCATCCCATAATAGGAGAATCTCTCACAGAACTCATTGACCACAATGAAGAAGATGCTGATGGGATATCCACAGCACTCAGCCGTCTGTTGGAACACAATAGTTTTTGTCAATTGTGGGGACATTTCACAGGGTCCAGTGTTTTTATACTGCACACACTGTATTTTTCATTGCCTTCACTGTAAAAATGTTGGGTTCCACACAACTCCTACATGTTGTCCCAACACAAATTAGGTTAACTTGATTGCTTTTATAAATTAACACTGCAAAAAAAAAAAAAAAATGCTTTTCTTACTTAGATTTTTGGTCTTGTTTCTAGTCCAAATATCTAAAAGTTCTCAAATCAAGAAGCATTTTTTACACAAGCAAAACATATTGTCTTGTTTTAAGAAATAATATGCCAAAATGAAGTGAGTTTTTCCTTAAATCAAGCAAAATAATCTGCCAATGGGATGAGCAAAATAATCTTATCACAAATCGAAAAACAAGATTATTTTGCTGACCCCATTGGCTGATTATATTGCTTGATTTAAGGAAATATAGTTACAGGTCTATTTATTCACATGTGAATAATTATTCACACACAATCTGACTTGAAAATAAAGTGTTATTAACTATTAAATTCCTTAGTCATTGCAGAATAAGGCATGAAATCAGTGAAGGACTCTTACCTTTTTCTTCTTCTTCTTCGTCTCGTCCATCTTTGAGTCTGTGAGATTGATTAATTATCAGGTTAGACACAACACAAAATAAATAATGCCATTATTTCTGTCATTTTAAGCAGTTTATTAGGTCCTCACCTGGCATGTTGGCAGCAGGAGCGTGTGTGTGAGAGAGTGTGTGTGTGAAAGTACCTGAGTGGGCAGCTACACCACCTCTGTGTGTGTGTGTGTTATTAGCATGGACTGTGTCCTGTCGGCTTTATGGCATGAACATCAGTGATATAGATAGATTATAGATAGACTGATATTACTCAGGGGTCCATAGGGTAAAAACCCAACAGCACAGTGTTTTCTACACCAGTCACAGTGCTTTATAGAAGGAGTCTTGATCAAAATATCCATCAAGTCGAATTTCCTTCAGATCTCAGATTAAAATGAAACAAACTAATATCGGACAAATAAAAAAATAATAATAAAACTAAAAACAAAGATCAAACATGGATCAAAAACAGAAACCATATAGCAAAACAAATCTAATTTTGTTTTTGTTAAAATAAAATTATAAAACAAAAAAGTAAAAAAAAAGAAAAAAAGATGAAATCTAAACAAAAAACACTGCAGAACACAAAAACATCAAAAAAGACAAAACAAAACACAAAATAAAAAAGAAAAGACACAAAAAAACAAGACTAAACAAAACAAAATGAAATAGGAAAACAATTGATCAAAAAAAAAAAACAAGACAAAAAAACTAAACAAAACAAAGATAGAAAAAAGTAAAACAAAATACTAAAAAATAAAAAACAAAACAAAAAAATGAAAGGAAAACAATTTAACAAAAATAAAACTAAATCAAGATAAAAAACCTAAACAAAACAAGATAGCAAATACAAACGAAACAAGACAAAACAACTTTAAAAACAAAAACTATTTACAAAATAAAACTAAAAAGTTACAAAAAATTACAAAACAAAAAGACCAAACAAAAAAAGATAAAAGACAAACAAAAAACAAGACAAAACAAAACAAAAAGATTTTCGAAAGGCAAAAATTGACAAAATAAAGTAAAAAAATAGACAAAAAATATATTAATTAAAATGAAAATATAAAACAAACCATGAAAAATGACAAAACATAAGAAAAAAACAAACAAACTGAAAATAAATAAAAAATAAATAAAGCAGTAAGTAGCACGATCGCCTCACAACAAGAAGGTCCTGACTGGGTCAGTTGGTGTTTCTGTGTGGAGTTTGCATGTTTTCCCAGTGTTGGCATGGGTTTCCTCCACAGTCCAAACACATGCGCTATAGGGGAACTGAATAAGCTAAATTGGCTGTGGTGTAAGAATGGGAATGCAAGGTGTTTCCCAGTGATGGGTTGCAGCTGGAAGGCCATCCGCTGTGTAAAACATATGCCGGATAGGTTGGCGGTTCATTCCGCTGTGGTGACCCAAGATTAATAAAGGGGCTAAGCCAAAAAGAAAATGAATGAATGAATGAAAATAAGATAAAATCCAAACAACCAAAAAAGACAAAACAAAAAAACTAAAAACAAAAAGACAGAAAATCCACACAAACAAAAAACTGAAAAGACAAAACTAAAACCAAACAAAAAAAATGAAAAAGGCATCTACAAACTATAACTCAAAACAAGACAAAAACAAAACAAATTAAGAAAAGACAGAAAAACAAAACAACAAAAAAGACCAAACAAAAACAAGACAAAGAAACAACTAAAATAGCACTAAAAACTAAAAACTAAATACAAATAAATAAAAAAAGGCAAAAACTAAATAAAATAAATCTAAAAAAGGAAAACAATTTCAAAAATAAAACTTAAAAGCAGACAAAAAACTAAACAAAACAAAAAGACAAAAAATCCAAACAAACAAAAACAAAAAATACAAAACAAAAACAAAACAAATCTGAAAAAGGAAAACAATAAACCAAATAAATAAAAAAACAAGACAAAAACAAAC